AGTTGTAAAGTACCTCCTCTCTCTCTGCACTGTGACGTTTTCCAAAATGAGGACAATCAGCCTCCAAAGGGATATCACTTATTTTCGGCCTCGGTTTGCGAAGGCAGTTCAATGAATGTCATCGTTCTCCTAGCATTCTTGAACATACTGTGGTTAGTATCTGTCACAGCGTAGCATTCAGATTCAGAGTCTTCATGCCTTTGCGCTCTGTTGTCTGTGCTTTTCATAGGTACTTGTCCAGAAAAGGGAAAACATCAGTCCACTTCTTACCCTACGTGACGCTGAAACAGCGCGTGTAGGCCCAACTGAAATAGCAAACAAGAAGAGACGTGCGATGGAGAAAAAAACAAGAGAACGATCTAACTAACAGGTCTCCACTCCAGTCCCCGCAAAGCTGAGATGTGGGTGGCATGTTGACTCTTCATCTGTGAGTCCCTCCTCATTGATGCTGCTGTGTCAAAAAGCATTTCATCCAAATGCAATAAGACTCGACAGGCTGCTTAATCCCATCTTGGTTACAGCGCCATAAAGGTGAAGAATGAGGACGAAGGGAAAAATGTGTGTGTGTAAGACGGCGAGTGTCGCTGAGAGGAGGGGGTAGGGAGGGCTACTTCCATCGTCCTATCACAAAAAGGCAGCCTTTGAGAAGGGGCCCAATCATTACCGCGACTAGGGCTCGTTTCCATGGAGATGACGCTGGAATGATGTTGGCTGCCTATTGATTGTTCAAGAGGCAGTACACACTGCAACACAGGAGGCAGGCAGAGGAACAAGTGTGTCCAGCCCAGACTAATCCTAATGTTTTACTGCAGTTGTGCACTATAGAGACAAAAAAGATGTCTGACAATGTGATGAATATTACTTGCGTTTAAGTGATTTAGTCTGGGACACAGACATTAAAAAACACGTAAAGCTGTAGGCCTGATGCTGCAAAAGATAAACTCAGTCACAACTCAACGCCGGTTTACAAACTTGTTACTACAGGAGGTACTTCAGCTAATTGCCTAAGCAAGGCAGCTTAATAAATATCACAATTTTATCTGGGTAAACCAGTTTTGAGATCCCAACATCACTGTAGCAATGACTTATTTTACATGTTTGTATACAGACCAGTAAATAAAATAAATAGATTTCATATATATATATATATATATATATATATATATATATATAAATAACAAAATGTAAATCCTTACCTTTGTACCTTTTTAATATTAACTCCAAAGAGTTATAATTTTGGAGGAGACCAAGATCATGACTAAAATCAAAAGGGATCAAGAACAGTAACCCTTTTATGTTGGTTATGTCATTTATGAGCTTGTTCACAAGGGGAACATTTGTTAAGGGGTTAAATGATCATATAGAAGCCTTGAGGAGCTTTCAGACAGCGACTGGTTACACCTGTGTCTACCATGTTGGGTCTGTATTTTGAATGGATGGCAACTCCACTGCTGTAGGTACCAGATCCAGTCCTACTAACAGCCTGTACCATTCGTTACTGGCTGCTGTTGTGTTTAAATTGGAAAAAAAATTAACTGGGTGGTGATGGTGCAGTGGATAAGACACATACCATTGGTGTGAGAGACCCAGGTTCAATTCCCCACTGTGACACATCCACCAATGTGTCCCTGAGCAAGACACTTAACCCCTAGTTGCTCCAGAGGCGTGCGACCTCTGACATATACAGCAATTGTAAGTCGCTTTGGATAAAAACTTGCTAAATGAATGAATAATAATTATCTTAAAGTACCTTTAGCATCATTATTGTACAGACACTAAGAATCGATGACAGTACATACCAAGTATTTTGCTATTGTTTTTAATTAATACTGTATCTTTGGTTCTTTAAGGGCAATCTGGGCATGTTGCAAGTGATTAAACTGGCATTCTCATCAGGCTAGTCTATCTGTAAACAAACAGTTTATCAATCACATTTCCAAATGTATGTATGCACTGTTGAAATATAAAATGACCTATACCATGTTCTAATATGTTTTTTTTTAATCGCCCACTGCTAATACACATAGTTAAATGTCACAATAAGTAAGACGTAGTTACACATTAGTATAGGGTATCACTTCTTTTCCAGCCTGTTCAACTCATATACAGCAGACCAAATGTATTTTAATACTTTGTGACTGCTTTGTTGCAGGTCACAAAGCTTGCTGAAGCTTGAGAGGGTGGGTGCTTTGATAAAGTACAACGGTCTACCTTCTGTTCCTTTAAAGGTCACTGTTAGAAAACCCATAGCTGGGTGCAGCAAAGCTAAAAATAGACATTTTGCCTTCATTTTTTTAACTAGCATTTTTCTGGTACACTGTGTGCAGTCAACACTAAGATAGTTACATTTACAATGCCTCACTCTGAAAATCAATGTGATATTCATTCACCCTTAACTGTCTATCATCCCCATTTTAATGTACTGACAGTATTCACACAGGGAAAAGGGTTGATTTTGATAGACAGAAAGGTCAAGCTCATGCCACAGAAACAAGCTTCTAACTTTGCATCTCACAGCTTCAGTCTATTCCCTTATTACTTACAGTCTGCTCACAAGACCATGGCTTTAGAAGCCTACAGACTGAAAACAACGCTGAAGTGAACTCAACTAAACTCCACTTGTAATCTGCTGTAGCTCCTTCGATAATATAAATGAACTCTCTGATCAGGAACAGAGTCGCTAACAGCAAAACAACCAACAAAGAACAAAATATGTGAGATTACTGCTGCATACATGAACATTGCCACCAGCAAGTGTCCTTATCACATGTTGTACACGGCACAGGTAAGGTAAATAGAAAACATCGCTCTGAGCATACAACAAAGAAAAACATCCAGTCAACATAACTTAATGCCTGTCAAACAGAATATGCTCTGCACAGAAATTAGCTGTAGCCAGGTCCATCGTGGTTCTGTGGTATCGACATCCTATCACGCTGACATATTTTGACAAAGTTTCCCCATCTGCCTGTCACGTGACTGAAGAGCTGGCTGCTGGTCAAATACATCTCACATAAAAGGCTCTCTATTAAATTAGAACAGAGAGGAAAAGCAACAACTCTGAAAGATCATTCTGAATTGAGCAAAAAGCTTTCAGGAGCTGGAGTCTGTAATGTTACAGTATCACCACACCTCAGATACAACAGCTGATAAATACCCTGATCGATCCATCATTGCTTCACTGTCTGCTGTGTTGCATCTTATAAGACAATATAAATAATTGCTTTCCTCTCTTTTATCCAAATCTCTTCTGGCTTTCTTTTGGAAATTCTCTCAGATTTAAGCAAATTAGCATTTTATAATACTAATTATACTAACTATAATACACAAAAGCACTGGCGACCTGTCCAGGATGTACTATCCTCACTGTTAAATTTTATTCTCTAAGCTGCACTTTAAATGGCTTTACGATAAACACATTTCTCCTAGGGAATATAATATATGCACAATTATTTAGGTACAGTATCCCATTTGAGGTTAAAAAACAAACACTTTCATAGCATAGACAGGTCATTTAGAAAATACAAACAGGTGGCAGACTAAGTTACAGAAAAAGTTAAAAACAAATGCTGTCATGTAAGAATGCTTTCAAAAATAGACACAAATAGACACCCTAATGCCAGTTGCTGTGATAACAAGGGCGATGCCTAAGCAGGGCTGCGCAATAAATATGAAACAGCTATGAGGTTTGGCAAGTGGGCACTGCTGTTTAGATACAGTTGAAGCTTTGATTAATTATTCAATTTCCTCTCCATGAAAACTTCAAACCAAAATTTAAGAGACGGAGGCAAATTGACCCACTTCTGCCACTCCAACATAAACAGATCCACCCACATGTGTTAACTCCACCTTTCTCCTCACATCCTGCACAATTCTCCGTCTCTGACAACCATATAGACAAAACAGTGGTGCCTCAGAGTAAGACCAAGATTGTTCCACAGTTACATACTGTCTTCACTTGATTGAGGCTACTTGATCCTTGAAGAAGACTAAAATGGCAATGATTGGTTTGTGGTCTATGCGTCAGTTAATTACTGTGTTGATCAGCTTGTGTTTAGATGAGCATAGCCTAGGTCAACATCTCTGCCGCATGCATTTTCGTACACTAATGAGGAAAATAAGAAGCAAATTAACAATTTACAATTCAAGGATGCACAATACTCCACTGCAATACAAATCATGTTTTCTTGTTTTAACTAATTCATCATGTTTTAATGTTAGATTGAGCAAACAGTACACATGGAGTAACATTAGGTGATGCTCAAAATATAAATTTCTTCAACTAGTTCTTTGCCAATCCCTTCTCTACAAAGCTTAGACGAGCACAGAGCTGTCGTCTGTGTGATCCCTGTGTGGGTCTTGTTGTGTCACTCTTTTAGTCCTAAGTAGCCAGTTTATGTCAAATTTGTCCACATCAGCTATTAGAAAATGCGTTCTGATATCTCACTATTTATTTTATATATCTTGAGGATTGTGCAAGCCTCTGATGCTAGATACATTTTGCAGTCATTCTGTCTGAAAGTAAAATTATGAATTCGTCCTGTTTGGGAGTAATGATTTCTTTTAAATCAAGGTCAAGTCAGAAAATTTGGGTGGGACCACTGCCAACACGTTCCTGTTTCGGCTCTATCTACCTACGATTTATCATGTGAATGCAATGTATGCCAATCTAGCCTACTTCCTCTTTTCACAAGTCAAAACACAGGTTTTGATGTGATCTGCCATATTAGTCTTACTTAAAATTATGATCTTATTAAAATGCAAAGGATTGGTTTAAAAAAAACAAAAACAAAAAGATATCCACAAATCCCTAAGGGCTTCATAGTTTGTATGGTTATGAAGGAAGACCACCAAAGAAAAATATTCCAAGACTGCTACCAACATACTGTATGTAAATGCATACTGATGCAGTGTATGAGTTAAGAGGAAATGCTAGCAGTATTGTGCTTGATTACAATTTTGGAACCATGTGTGGAATTTGCAAATATGAAATAGCTTACCTCCATGTTTCTGTCCATGCATTTGGAGGGCGATGACATGCCTGACCCAGAGGACTCTGCGCAGTAGGGGGGCTGGTTGTCCCAGCCTGCATGGGGAGTGTTGTGAGGGTGACAAATTTTCAGAGAGCTGCCCCGACAGGTGTCCACGACTGCAGCAGTGGTGCAGGGGTCAGCTACAGTGAGGGCCCTCCCTAAAGGCTGCTTTCGTCGATCTTGTTTGGTTTTCTTGTTTGGTGAGTGGGAGGCACTCTGGGATCTCTGTAGCAAGGCCCTGGAGTTTGTTAGGAGAGGCTTTGTCTGCCAGGAGTTACTGCTGTCTTCTTGATCTGGCTTTTTAAAAATGTAGCTGCGGGGTTCTGCTCTCTGCCTCCCCTGCACCAGTCTTCCATAGGCCTCTAGCAGGTGGCAGAGGAAGATGGCCTTTTCTAGCTCCAATTCCTCCCTGTGATGCAATTTATAGACTGCCTGCTCACCATTTATATTTTCATTCAGCGTCAGCAGCAACTGCTCCAGCTTTGTGTAAGTTTCTCCAAAACAGAAAGCCTCTCTCCCTGTGGACTCAACCTCAGCGCATCGTCCACTGTCTTTAATGTTCACCTCATTAGCCAGCAGACGGCAATGTCTGTTATAGAGCCTGTCTTTTTGGCACCCTCGCCTGGCCGTCAGCTCCCTCACGGCCCTCTGCAGTTCCCTCTCTGCTTCTTCCCGCAGGTGCCTAAGCTCCACAGAGAGGTGTCGACTGGCCCGCTGTGTACGGTGCTTCTCTGCTTCCAAATCAGCATGCAGCCTTTTTAGCTCTCGTCCATAGTGTGTCTGGCCCTGGCATGGTTTTGTGGATGACAGTGCCGGAGGGTTATCCCTGTCTTTCCTCATGACGCCACATTCACAGCACAACATGCAAGGAACGGTGAGACGTATTCATCTCTAAAGGAGGGCCATGCATCAGAAATGAGAGGAAGTGCAGGTGGGTGATGGGAGGTTATCGGACATGCAGCATGCAATTATCACACCGGGTCACTGGAAAGATGAGGGGGATGTGAGAGTATTGGAGAAATGGTTAGTTATTTTCAAACGTTTTAGATGAATGTAGTAACAAGAAATGCAATGTTTCCAGCAAGGTGAAAGCACAGACGATGATTAGACTATTGGTTTTCTCTGGTAAAGAGAGGATTCAGAAAAAAGAAGGCAGCCCTCTGGAGAGCTTCAGGAAAACAAGCACAATGAATACACCAATGAAAACTTGTGCTTTTTGTTAAAAATGGAGAAAGAATTTGCCTCTGGAAACTCTCTCTATGCAGCTTGTGATGTTAAAACCTACCAAGCAAATCATGACATTAATATTAATTAATTACACATATCCGTATCATGCAGATGTATGGTAGAACGAACAACCTTTGAGCACTGGAGAGCATAAAAGCAAACAGGCAAATCTAAATTTACTCAGCACGAGATACGATTAATGGAGCTTATGCTTAGGAGCAGTCAGCTGAGGATGCAACAAGTGAACTGGTGAACTTCCATTGAAAAGCGCAAACAGTAATGCACCGTTAGCTATCATTACTGTGGCCAATTTCACCCATCGCTAGCCCAACTTAGCGGTGCCCGTGTGGGCGCAGGGATAAGGTTCATATTACAGAGGAAGGGACTTCGGTCAACGGCTAATTAACTAGCTTCATTTAGCAAACTATTATATGGTCATGTAGCTGATGTATGTAACGCTATTTAGCGGCGTGAATAACAGTCTGTAGTATACTGGAAAGAGCAAGTCCTGACCACTAAATTAGCTACTACGTCTTGTTAGCCAGTATTAGCTAACCGTTAAGTTTTCTAGCCACAACTTGTTGTATCAAACTCACCTCTCAGCGGACGCAATTCTTATATTTAACATTTCATCAATGGAGTCATTATCTTTCAACCAAAGTGCTTTTATCGGCATTAAAATGAGCTGTCTAGCAACATTGAGACTGATACCGTTCAGCTGTTAAAGGTCCATAGAGCCACACAAGAAGGGGTTTGTTTATCTGTCAGGCAGCAGTGTCACATACACATTGTGTGTCCAGCGTAATTCTGCTGGCCCGTCCGGGAACACTGCTGCATTCAAGTGCGCTTCGTCCACGTCTCATCATTGAGCTCAGATGAAATGACAATCATTAGGAATACCAAAACAAATTTTCCGTGTGAATGTTGAAAGTCAAGCGCGATAGATTTGCATTGTCCTCCAACAACACAACGGGGAGAGTCATTTTTATTGACAGTGCAATGTTTGCATCAAAGTTTCAGTACTAATTTATCTCTCAGGAGTTATTGTTTACATCTCTACCATTCCTACTAATTGCATTTTCCTCTTCTCCTAAACTTCCTAGTTAATAAATACCCTGCCTTTTTGGGGTGCCGGTGCATTTAAGTGTTTATGTGCGTTTTTACACTAATTGCAGTATTTCTGTCAATCCCTGAAGGCAACATAATCATTGCGTTAAACCGAGTCCAACTAACTTGTGTGAGACGGGTGACCACTAGTGGCGGCAGGCTGCTAGTACAGAGTGAAGAGGGAGCATCGTATTGGATCATATTTTGATTTATCATAAACAGGCGTAATTATTATTATTATTATTAACTATATTTTAATGCAAAGCATTCTCCTAATGCTCCTTACTAAACCACTAACTAATGGTCAAGTTGGCAGATAACCTGACAACCTGCATTATATTCTTTTTTTGTCATGATAATTATATGTATGCAAGAGTTTTGAGGGTTAATATACCTTAATATTTATGTGCTGTGGATAAGAATCCCATTTTATGAAACCAGTGTTATTTTGTCCTCTGGGAGAAATAATTAGACAAATAATTATACACTGGTATCTTCTGGGAGAAAACACAGTTTAATGAATAAGCTACAATATGCTCCCTTGAAATCAAATGTTATGAATTATAAGATTTCACAGAAACAGTAGGTCACATTTTTCACCAAAAGACATTTAACATGTCACTGTAGGAAAAGCTCAAATGATAAAATGAATGATGGTATTCCATTTCCTTCCATGCTTCACTTTCAGGTGCAGGTATTATGCACCCTGGCTCTTTGTCACACTATCATGGGTTACTGGAATAGAACTTAGAATAGAACAAAGCCATCATTAATGTTGTCACCTGTGCTTTTCCTAATATAACAAGCCAAAATGGCTGCTGTAAAAGGGCCTACTCTAGAATCCAATAGTACCATAAATTGCAATATTAACATAAAACCTTCTCTTAGCGTTTATCATCTTTTAATTGTATTTTCTCCGTGTAATGTCAGGTGTCTGCACAGTGTTTAATGAAAGAGGAACACCGGTGATGTGTGTGTGCATGTGTTTTAAAGCACTGGCAAAATGTCCCTTGTGTCACAGTTTTGGATAACTTGCAAACAGGAAGGAGGGAAGCAGCAGACACAGAACACAGCAGGCTGGGCTGAAAATACATTTACTAAATCAAAGTTCAAAGTCAAGCGTGCAGAGACTAGTGGCAGGCACAGGGGATGTTAAAAAAAAAACACTGTTTGTAGTAAGACAGGAAACGGGATTAAAGAATGGCTGGACATTATGACAGTAAAGCTATGCAGTTAACTAGACAGAGGAAACATTCTCAATGTCTGAATACACCAAGGAAAGATAATTAGGAAGTGCAGAACAAGTGGCTAATGAGGAGGCAGGGAAGGACAAACAGGGGCTTGGGAGGGAGGGAAAGTCTGTAGGTGGTGGTAAAGGGAAACAGATCTCACCATAGATCCTTGTTTTTTCAATAGGTCTGATTTCGCAACACTTTATGTTACCTGATCTGATTGTGAGGACTATCCACCATCTTACATTTCCTTTCACCAGGAATTGAATCCTTTATGTTTTTATGCTTGCATCGTGGTCACAGTAATATTTTAGTCAGTCTGGTCGAGTTGTCAGTTGCATTTCACAATATGCATTTCATCTAATATGTGATTGCTATCGTTATCCTAGTTATATATCTCACTTTTCTCTGCACGTGAGGAGGTAATCAACAGGAATGCGCTGTTTAATATGATCCCTTGGTCGTTGCTTGAAAATGCTTCCTGAGATTTCCTTATTTGGCAACGACAATGATATTGAAATGTATAAATCCTCAACGGTATGTACATACCTTTTCAATATCATGTTGCCAAAATCCATCAAAGAGGCCAAACATGCCATGCCTGGCCACTGGGTGGCATTTGTATAAGTAGAGAGAGAATATAAGTATGTTTGCAGTGTAATTTATCAGTAGTGCAAGTGCATTAGGGGAGAGCATCTCTAACGGTTTGTGCTCATTGTGAGGGTGAAAGTGACAGAGATGGACAGAAAGAGAGAAATTCAGTACATCACTCTGCGTTATCAGGGTGTCCTTGGACCGCTCCCTCTCTCATTTCCATCTCTGTATGCTCACGTGTGGCAGACTGTTGGGAAGAGGCAGGAACAGAGAGAGAGGGAGAGCACATGCACTGCAAAAATATTCCAGTGCCTGTGGCTGTATCTCCTTAAACATTTAACGCAGTTTGCTTCTAAGAGTTAAAAGACCTCCCTGCAAATACAGTAGATATCCTGTTTCTGTGTTTGGGCTGCTTTTGACCCCACTGTAAATCTGCCTCGACTGTGATCTGCACGTGATGAGACCAGGCACATGCTGTGATCATGTTTCTGTACCTATACCTAAATTTTCACATGTAATATATTCTGGCACATACTGTGGGATTCCTGTATTTTTGGAACAACTCAGTGGGACACCATCTGTGATGCGAGGTACATCTTTCTGTATATTTTATAATGTGATAGAATTGTGATAATGCGAAAAGCATCAGCAAAATATATATTTGCCTTTTTGAATCATATGTGATACTCTGCCGACTTCTTTTGTTGTCGTCTGTAGTTTCATATTTTATAATCTGATCTTTTGCAAGAATAAAGTGTCTTTTGTGGCTTATTCTGTAATTTGTATTAAAACAATATTTCAAGTAAAACCTTTGTGTGTGTTTCAAGTGTTTTCACTACACGAGCCAAATGACCGGAGGCAGGTGTGGTTTTGTCCTAGTGTCTTTTATTTCCAAGACATCTGAGTCCCGGAATCAAACAATTATTTTGCCGGCACTGGCGCAATACCCTGGAGACGATGTAACATACCGGCAGCAATTTGTCACTGAAATCTTAAAAACGAACACCAAGATCAAAGTCACCAGACCAAGTCTATTTATTGAGCCCACATGTTATGCATCATACTCACTGCTGTGATTAATTTTTGTGAAGGAATTTAGGAATTACATGGCAATAAAGGACTTAAATCTCAAAGTCTTGACGTCTGGATGATATTTGTGTCACAGTTTTCCCACCTGCAATATCCAATACCTGTCGTCATGACCCACTTGAAATAATAGTCCAAGACAAAGGTAACAGGATGTCACGTGGCACTATTTGTGTCAAGCTCAAATTCAAGACCCTCATGACTACAGAACGAATTCATTTACCTAACCTATAGCTTTGTGAGACTTTGACACCATGACAAAACCAAAGGTGATCTATGAACTTGCTACCCCTTATAGTGTGCTCCACTGGAGTTATGTAAAATAGACTCCAAGAACATATACCATAGCCGACCCCACCAAATTATCACACACTAAGAGAAACATCACAATTTCCAACTGAAAATAGCCCGTTTGGCTCACATTGCGTGTGTCTCTTCTTGGAAATTTGGAAAGGTCTTCATTGAGCCTTTCCTTCCTTCCTGCCTTTTGTTTGCGGAAGCTTTGTTTCTCTCTTTTCATCTAAGCCCCATAATGGTAATAGACCAGCACAAACATCTGAGCTCATTGGACTGATTTCCAATCAATATATCACATTCAAGCAGGTTAGTGTGGTTCAGGTTGATGAACTGGAGTGCGCGGGAATCTAGTTTTTGAGTTTACTCTCACTGTGTGTACAGCTTACATAAGCTGGTCCCACAAAATTCAGACTCCAACATTAACAATACAACATTGAGGAAATGAGTGAGGAAATAACATAGTTATCTATCAAAGAGATTCCTCACTGCAGTGCCCCTAAGCACTTAGAAGAAGAGGGAGGCTTTTTAACTCACAGTCAGGCTTGTATTGTAGGTGACCACTGCTGATCATCTCTCCATCACTGTATGTCTTAGCACAGCTGGGAATCCTTGTAATATGTGTGTGGAAGAGTCCAGTAACACTTAAGCCTAACCCTCCAACACACTGGGAGAGGGATGACACCTGTAGATCCCTCATCAACTGTGACTGTGTGCCGCATATATAGTTTTTAAATACTAGGTGACAGCAAAGAAGAAATACTAAGCCACAATGAAAATAATATTAAGGAATAGTTTTTTGAAATGTCGCAATCATTACCGTGGTTACTGTGGATCTGATAGACCAGCAGTGTTCCAATGCTGTGATACAGTCAGGAGATAAATCAACTATCTTGTTCTTTCCTCGATTTATTAGCACCTTGGGGAGAAATTATAATTCTTGTATATTTCAATAAGGATCAAACAGCTGGTTTTTCTTCCTTCATAGTAAACAGATAATGAGTGTGCTACAGAATCTACAAATGTATTACTTTTACTACTGTTATATTTATAATGTGGTTATGTCTTGAAATTACACATCTGTAAAGTATATTTGACAGTTGTTCCCAGGTTACAGAATTAATTGTAAGAATGCAGCAGACATTTTCATCATCATATGACTTTTATGTAGGAGAGGTCACTCTTAATTACAAACCAAACCTGACTATGTAGTTCCCCTCAGCTCTATGATGTACAAAATGTTTTAGCATTTTTCAGCTCATTGTTTTGGTGTCATAGCCCGCAACTTTACCTTTTGATTCATTAAAAAATCGCTGATGAACCCACTGTACACTACCTGCTCAGCATCAATCACAGAAAGACAAAGTTAGCAATAGTGAATATAGTGAAGCTTTTAGCAACCAAAGAACCAGATTTTTCCCTCAGAAATTGGTGGAGACCAAAAACAGAGCTAAAACGTGAATTAATATTGGACTCACACTCATCAGGTGGTCACAAACACGACTCCGAATGAATGACAGTGTTGCTCTGTATCCCTGGGTGTGTAAAAAGGCCAGCTGTTTGCTAATAATTGTGCTATAAAGATTTTATAAGGTGCAAATATGTTAGGGTTGTGTTCACAGCTTGTTTCTGCTGCCCCCAAGTGGTCAATAAATTAGCTAATGAAGTAAAAACTCAGGTAAGTAACTAAGTAAATAAAAAATAATTAGCTGAAACTAATAACTCAACGAGTAACTATTGTAAGTAATAGTTGGAATATTTACAGTAACCGTTCTAAGTTTGCTCTGGAAACACACTGATTCAAAACACACACACACACACACACACACACACACACACACACACACACACATTCATACTGTTGTTTACTGTGGAGTAATTCGCAGCCAGACCAAAGATGGCAAGACAAGGCTATATAGTAAATCTGTAATTTGGGCTGTGTGATGCAGTGTCTCAATCCTATCCTGGGGGTTCAGAAATGTAACTTAGTGTAACAGAATCCCTGTATTTTGGGTTAACTACTGTTTCATGTGAAGCCGCAGGAAGGAGGCCTGAATTGGCCCTTGAAAAGCCTGTTAATGGCCGTGGACAGCTTGCACGTTTCTCCACGGCTCAAGAGGGATTAGTGTTTGGAAGCAATTGCAATTAGTCTGCTGCACAATTCAGAGAGGCCCCAGGCTTTTCTTTGTAAGAGGACGATTGAAAGAACTATAGAATACAGTATGTTTGAAATATTACACATTCAGACACATAAAGCTTCTTTCTATCTGAAAGGAGAAACTTTTTGGAAAACAAATACACTAGATGGAGTGCAGGAATTTATGGAATAAGGTTTGTGGAGTACTATTTATTTCAGATGATGCGCATGCTGAGGGTGAGATCATGTTGGTGAAGATTATTTTAAGAAAGTGTATCGTTCATTCATCTGATGAAAGGTGGTGTCGGAACTTTAAAGGAGAGCTCACATTGAGCATAATTTTATGTCCGCTTCAAAGTTGCATTATTAAGCACTCAGCCAAGATCTTCATCTTCATTTTCCCTTGTCTTTTCATTCCACTGCGGTGGATCATTTGTCAGTCATCAGTTTTCTGTGGGAGTTAACGAGGACTGGAGGATTTCTTCAAAACTCTCTAGGAACTTCTGTGTACGACGTTCTGATTTATAACTTTCATTGCATCATAATCGCACAGTGTTTTGCTCTAGAGTACTTCTGTGTGGGTTCTATGCACACACACACATTCACACACACACACATTCACAGACACAGGACCTGAGCCACAGCCTTGTCTCCCCCTGCGAGTGTGTGCAGAGATGAGCAGGACCGCACCTTCTCTGAGCGCTACCTGAAACTGGAGATGCAGTGGTAGCAGTGAAGGGTTAGCTTTCATTGTCTTTGTCTTTTTTTTTCTTTTTCTTTTTGCCCCTCCTGCTTGTCTTAAGCATAGACCAGTGCAGGGTGTTGGAATATTAACATACAATGCTATGGTATTTATTGTTTTACGTAATCTCTGCCGCTGAAGCCAGGTACTTATAGTCAGGCAGGGTTAAGGAGATGAAACACCTTAAACAAGTAGCGCTGGATACTCTGAGTGTCCTACTTACATTTCTACAAGTTTCTGTGTTTTCTTTGTGACTTGTGGAATTAAACTGCCTGCTATTTGCACTGAGGACATTTTTTGTGCTTTGTTTCTGGGGGAGAAAACCTATTTTATTTTTATTTAGTTTTTTATTGTGGGTGAAGATAAATACTTAACAGGTATGTATTTTTTATGTACTACCATGTTGCTTTTGATTTATTTATTTGCTTCATTTGATTATTATGATACTTGAAGTGTCAATGGATGGTTATGTCTTTAAATCTAGTTTTTCTCCATCATTTAAGTTGTTTTTGCTATGACATTATAATGCGAAGGGATAGAGGTTAACGAAGATGTTAAGACTGTACACTGTTGTAAGGCAGATCCTTATTATACAATGATCATACAATGTCAAACACGTTCAGATTCTGCGATTTATTACTATTAAATTCTAAATTCTAATATTGGGGAAAGCCATTTCCTTGTGTTCAACAAGATGTCTGTCTTTTGTCATTTTTTTGTGACATTCCACAAAAAACTCAATAGCCTTTGCAGAAAAAAAAAACTATGCTGACAAATGCACTGATTCTCTGTTTAGCTGGCATGAAAATCTCCCAGTTAAAGAGACTGACAGCATTATTCTTTGGTTTATCTCAGACATTAAGGGGTATTTTTGTGGGGCCGAGATCTTTCAGCTATTTCTCAGCACAGGGAAGTGAGAAGGGAGGGGAAGCAGAGCCGACACAAAAGGCAACATTATTCCCCAGCGGATCTGCGCTACATCCTACCATGAATGGAGTATTGAAAAACATAACATTGGGGACTAGATTATTTTTCATCCCTCACAACTGAGCCATTTGTCCCAGAGTTTCGAGGGGTTTGTTGGTACAGTCTGCAAATGAGACAGACGTGGTTCTGGAGCGCTGTGTTGGTGTTAAAATCCCCACCTCCCAATTGGATGCACAATGATCTCTCTGTGGGTCTCTGGCCTTCTGCACTGCACCTTTTGAGACAACGCAATAGTCCAGCAAAAAAGGACTGGACCTGGATGAAGACTGCACTGTCCAGAGTTGTTTTCTTGTCACTAATGACCCCACAAAAGCTTGTGTGTTAAATATACCTCCACAAGCTGAAGATAACTGTATGTATACTGTACAGTGGCTCAAGATTTTAACATCCCCCCTTCTCCTTCCTGCCTCCTGTTCTCCAACGAGATGAGAGGCGCCCCTGCAGTGTCATCAGGTGCCTAAGCGTTTTGGAGGGTTCTAGTGACAGATTGCAGGAAGCAGTGTTTATGCCTGACGATGGGGACCACAGAAAGCAGAAATGTCTTTTTGTGCCCCCTGGGCTCGGAATGTCCACTATCTCGAGGGGCCAATATCAAATTCTCCCCTCATCATCCCCTAATACACATTCCTGTGTAAGGTCAGGGGGAATTCTGCATCAGTGAAGAGACAAACAACCCAAGCCACATGCTGTGGTCTCCTAATGACACCATGCTTCTAATAAACACAAGTCAATTAATTTCTGGGATACTTAAAGAATATGTGACATTTGGAATTCCAACTTCCCCATGGTGATCTTATGATATACTGTATTGCTTTTTCTTTCGGCATTTCAGTAACCTAATTCCCTTTCGGTTTTAGCTAAATGTCATTCATCCTAGTTTTCACATGAGAAGAATACAGGGTATTTAATGTCTGACCACAGTACTATCTAACTCCAATGATTGAGTGATTGTCAGCGAATCCCAATATTCTCTGTCTGTAGGAAAATCCCCTTGATTATCAAAAACCATGCCACAGGTGCCCACCTCTTTCTGTAACACAAGCCTCCCCCAGCTGTTGATGGTGCTGCGAAGCTTGGAAATTAGACTTCCTCAGTGTAACCATCAGTGTAACAGACCTCACCCTGGTTCTCTTGTTCCGGCCTCTGCTACCAGCTGCCAGGTCCGTGCACGGCCATTTTGTGCTTACAAAACAGCACAGTAAGTAACTTGATTCTGAGTTCCCGGTGTTTTCTTGGCAACAGCAGAATTTTTCGGTGGCACATGTCTATGTCTGGGGAACTGGGGTGACTTTATAATCTGTTCCAGGTTTGCTCTGAGAAGTGTTTTTATGACATACAAACCTCCTTACAGGCCTCTTATGTCCACAGGGAGTCATGTGCATCACATGATCTCCAAAAAACAAGTTCTTTTTGAGTGGCACATTTCCCAAGCCTGACTTCGGACTACCATCAATACCTACTACAGCACAATACCAACAGCTGCAGGCGCCATCAGAGAAAACAATCCAATACTATAATTAGGCTACTCTGAACCAGGACAGAAAATAGTGATTGCGTTTGTAGTAGCAGAAAAGTGTCTACAACGCTCTAATCTGCTACATTTAGAGGTGCGCTCACATGTAGCTCAGGACTTCGGGCAGCTGGATGAGAGAGACTGACAGTGTGTGTGAATGTGTATGTTGCAGGCGGATGGTCAGTCAGGCAGCCATGCGAGGCCAGCGCGTGGCGGAGAGCGAGTGTAGGTGCTGGAACCCGGCCGTCTGGCTCCTGGTGTCCCTGCTGGGTTCCCTAGTCTTAGTTGCCGTCAGTGTGCTGCTACGATTTGGTGAGTATGTGGGTGGGGGCCGGGGATGCCATGTAGGATTTGACCAAAAACTACAGAGGGCTATTAGGAAGTTCACCTTCTGCATGAGATCAGGACAACAAGTGTTTTTTTTTATGTATTTTTCTATATTTGGGTCATTTTTGAGAAATATGACAGTAAATTAGTAAAGGGGTAGTAGATAAAATAATAACTGCATTTTGGTTTTCATTTGCACTTATGAAGTAATAACATGTAAGTAAGTTTTTTAAATAGCTAAAGGACACTTCCTCAGTGATATTTGTTGTGCATTCTTTGGTTAAAGGGAAATATATTAAATGGAATAATAATAGACATTAAAGTCTAGTGCACTTGTTTCAAGTTCTCAATGGCAAGTGTCCACTAGAACAGCTTCTGTATAGTGTATAATTTCAGTAAGGGGTAATTTTTCCTACTCTAGCTAAGAACCGGAGGTTGGTGGTATGAAATGCTTAAGCATTGAGGCTTTAAGAACACAGTGTACCTGCATATGAACTCCCTGTAGATGACAGCTTTTGTGTACACTGTCTGCCCTGTGTTTACCAGTGATAACTGGCTAAAAGCCCTGCAGTTATTTTGAAGGAAGCCAGGATCAATTCCACTCACTGACTGCACATTATGGATCAACAGATAGGCCCTAGTACAGAGCAATTGATTCAAATGTGCTTATGTGCAGCTTGTTGGTTTTGTCTTGTGATAGAGCCAACAGATATCCAAGTGTTTGCCTTACTAACATTATTTTTGTATCAAAATTTCAGGAGACATAAAAATAAACAGACGGGCTGTATCCAGTAAGTAATATTTAAGTTAATCCCATTTAACCTTTCTTCTCCTCCTTAGAATAAGAACTTTGTCTCCCCGGACTATAAACTTGAAACTAATTTGGTGTGTTTGTTAGAAAAATCCCTCTGGAAGATATTAGTCTTCAGGCGTTATGTCATCTAGCCTATAATCGGCTGGAAACGTTTTTCACTGTGACAATATGTGTTGCATCAAAACACTTGCATATCACTCACAGATGACAGCTCAGATCTACATGGAGCCTCTTTGTTTTGCATAAAGAATATCTATTGACGAGCACAGGTGTCATTTACACATTTTGAAATGGCTGATTTTGTTCCCACCACTTTTTTAAAGCATCACTTGTTGAAAAAAAACTTTCTGAAATATATCTTGCATTTAAATAACAAATAAAAAATGCCTTCAGAAAGGTATATTTGTTCAATATTACATGAGAAACTATGATCTACAGGAGAAATAAATCTGAAAGCAACACAGAATGCTTGAGAGCTGCACATAATTATATTCTATTATATTCATATGAGGATATCTTTAAAACACTGTTTAAGGATATAAGGATATTTTTGTCTCATTCTAACCTAATATCGCAGATGGTGATGTCTTGCCAGCTAGGTATCTCTTCACACCCTAATATCAGCCCCTATGTCCCCACCACTTTTCCTTGTTGACAAGCATTAAATAAAAGTGCTATGATCGAGAGAACAAATTGATGAAGATTTTGTAACCCCTCAGTCACAGATTTTGAGTTTATTATACTTGTCCCTCACTTTCAAACACCAAGAGTCGACAGCCACACTGGCGGCTCTGTGAGGCTGTACTTAGGCACAGCAGTGCATTGAGCTAAATGCTAATGCCGACGTGCTACAATGTTCACAATAATAAAGCTAACATGATGATGTTTAGCAGGTACATTATTTAACCTGGTCACTATCATAGTTCAGTGTGTTAACATGCTAACATTATTATTAGCACACAACACAAAGTATATCTGAGGCTGGTGTGAATGTCATTAGCTTTTCAGGTATTTGGTCATAAACCAAAGTTTTGGGCAAATTGAAATTTAAAGCGATGGTGCCGATAGAGTAAGTGGTGGGGATAACCAAATTCACCTTGCAACACCAAAATTCATGGCAATCTGTCGAATACTTGTCGAGACACTCTATGTTATGTCAACCTCATGGTGGGGCTGGGTGAAAAGTCAGGCAATCACTAAATTTAGTAGGATTCATCCTCTGAGGACCATGCATGTCCAAACCTTTCTGACAATTCATCCAATAATTGTTGACTTTCCTTTCCTTTCCATACTGCTAGCATGGCTGAAAACCAAATAGAAGGAACAGGCTAACTAACATATTTTGTTGTGGCTGGTGCAGTACATGGTCTGAACAGGCTCCTGTTGTGGTTTCAGTCTGTGTCTAGTGTTACAGGAAAATAGATATAGTAGATATAGAGTACAGTAACTATGGAAGGCAAAGAGCCTCCTTTCAACAAATAATTTGACCATGCTCTCTCTCTCGTTCCCATATCCCCTCCTCTCTCCCGTTTTAGCCAATGGCGTGCAAAGCCTGGTAAAGACGCAGTACCAAGGTAAGCATGAGCTATACAGCTACCTTACCTTCACTCCCACACCTGCCCAGACACCACTGTCAGTGTCTGGCTGTGTGTCAGGGAAAGAGAGTACAGAAGGTAGATCAGAGCCTGGGGCTTTTTAAACAATGTCACTTTCCCAGCTCTCAGTTTCCCTAATCCCCACTTATTTGGTATGTAACCTCCCACACTCCTGCATCCAACTCATTCGCTTCCAAGGAGTCATGTGGCTTATTGTGTTCAGACGGATTTTTTCTTGCTATTAACTGTCATTACAATACAGCTATGCTGGTCTGTCTTCTTATCTTCTCTTTTTTTTCCAAATAGAAACATGTTGTTAAAATGTCCCTCAGACAGTAGAGCTTTTTTGGGCCTCAGATTTTTCAGTGAGGTGACACAATCATAACCAAACAACCTGAACATCCTCATCTCAATCATGACATAATGGATGATATGATTAAACACTGACAGCAAACCTGATGATGCCTGCTTATCTTTCCAAAGTACAACTGGTGAATGGACGTAACAGGTGTGAGGGTAGAGTGGAGGTGCGCTACAATGAATCATGGGGCACAGTGTGTGACGACGACTGGGACATGGTGGATGCCAACGTGGTGTGTCGGCAGCTGGGCTGCGGAGTGGCTGTGGCAGTGGGCAGCAGCTCTCAGTTTGGACAAGGCACGGGGCTGATCCTGCTGGATAATGTGGACTGCAGAGGAAGTGAAACAGACCTCAGCCAGTGCCGTAGTCTGGGCTGGGGAATCCACAATTGTTATCACTATGAGGATGTGGGTGTCACCTGCAGAGGTAAAGCCTTTATATAACTTTGAGTTGGCTGAGGTAGTGGTAAATCATCTCTTCATGTATAAATCTGGAAAGAAAAGAGGACAAAGTGACCTGCTTTCTTTTCATTTTGCTGCTAGAACTAGCAATGGTGGGGGCAAGAGGTTTTGAGGATCGCACCACACCGCCCCAGGAGAACTCCGGTTTACGTAAGTGCTCCTTGCTTTTATCTAAATGAGAATGGTCTTCTGCCAACCTGAAATGTCAGAGGGATGATTTTTTCAAAAAGTATGAAGCATATGGCCAAAATCCAGAAGATAATTTTGAGATAATTATCTAGGGATTTAATACTTATGTAAACAGGATGTGAATAACTACAACCATTTCATATCTGATTTCATAGTTCTTGTATGTGAAATGTGTCGTTTGCACAGTAGTGATAAACCCACGGGGAAATGTAATCTGAAACTGCAGTCCCCCTTAAGTCTGTGGAGCTTTATAGCATCTGTTAGCTCATTGTTTTGGGTCTACTGGCTGCAACTTTACATGTTCTAGTTCACTCTCACCGCTCTCAATCTGTCATTTTTGTGCAGCAGGCAACTGTTTTCAGTGATAAAGCTCTAAAAACCCTCTGTACACCACACAGCAGACAAACACAGTTAGAAACTAGCTGTCGAGCATTCAGCGGTTAAAGAGCCACATATTTCCCTTATGAGTTAGTGGAGACCAAAACAGAACTAAAAATAAAGCAAAAATTGGACTTTCATCATTCTTCATGTGGCCAGAAACATGCTACACAACGAATGCTGGGCCGGATGTGTGAATGGGCAGTTTGCTGACACGATAGCCATGTCAACTTTAAAGGTGACGTGTCAGTGCCTTTTTCATAGGGTGTTTCCACTGCCACCAAGTGGCCAAACAAATCTGTTATCGGAGGTCTGAGCGTTAGACCTTGCATCAAATATGCACTTTGATAAACACAAACCACACCTGTCTGGGCAATCTGGGAGGTTAATGAAATAAGCCGTCTACCTCCAAAAATGGAATCATGCCATCAGGCTGATTCGCATAATGGCTTAAGGGCAGAGGCCACATTGTCCCTCTGCAATAAGCAGATCAAACCGCTGTTACAGTGAATATCTGATTCCAATACAAATATTTTAAATGCTGATTGGACTTTCTTGTCTGTAGAGGATACTTAGAAAATATGTTTCGTATTCAGGGGAATTAAACTTCCGGCCAGCTTTTCTCTCTGTTTGATTAGACCTTTTTTTATGCTCTAGGATCAAAATCAAACAAACACACACCCACTTCTAGAAGACAGGTGGCATGCCAGATGTTACTATAAAACAAAATGCAAGGGCAGGTTTCATTAAAAAATGAATGATGGCTTAGTTTGTCCTACTGTGTGTCCTATATATATCTTCAGGTAAACTGTACAATACATCTCAAAGGCTTCTTGAATTCCAGGCTATCCTTATTGTTTGCTAGGTTTGCCTTTGTCATTGTCGCCGTCTTGTTTTTTCCCTTATTCCCCAAAAGGACCATGAAAGACTAGAACAGAAGTGAGACGTCTAACTAATTTTCCAGTGGCCTTAAAACCCACAGGGTGGGTCTCTGATGCAGTGAAAAGCATTTTTAACTTATAGACAAGCCCTATTGTCTCTTTTAAAGGTGTGTTTTTTTTCTGTGCTGAGGCATAAGATGACAACATCTGCGCCTAGTGCAATATCAGATATTCACCATAACTCGGTATGGAGGCTATTGTATAAACCCACTGTACCCTCTTCTCCTTTCTCAGTATCAATTTCACTCAGTCTTTTCCTCTGTCACACACATCCTATTAGTTACAGTTTCCTCTGATACCTCAAAATCAGTACACATTAAATTTGACATTAATGTAGAAATCTACAGAATAACAATATGTTTTAGCGGAAGATGTATTTAACACCAGTCCCTGAAAATCCCTTCCCTCCCTCTTGGCTTAGGAGATGGCACCATCCGTCTGGCAAATGGACAGAATACCTGCCAAGGCCGGGTAGAGATCTACTACCAGGGAAACTGGGGCACAGTGTGTGATGATGACTGGGTCCTCAGCAATGCCCAGGTGGTGTGCCAGCAGATGGGCTGCGGTACTGCCGTCTATGCACACACCAACTCCTACTTTGGCTATGGGACTGGCCTGATTCTCCTGGACAATGTCAACTGCTACGGCACTGAACAGGACCTGACTAAATGCAAAAGCCTGGGATGGGGCAAACACAACTGTGGACATCATGAGGATGCTGGGGTCACCTGCACTGGTACGCTGCTTTCAGTAATGGAATATCCATTAACACAAGTCATACAGATGTAAACCAAGAATGATGAATAATGATGTTATTATTCAAACCAATAACTAAACTACAAGAGTTGAGTCTACAGCAATGCTAGCAGCAATGTGAATGTGTACATTTATTCTGTCTATATTCATTCCTACTGGTGATAATAATGTTGGTAGTTATTAGTAGTTGTGGTATTAGTAATGGTTGTACTACAGTTAATAAGAAATACTAGTGGTGGAAAATTTACTTGACCATATTTAGAGAATAAGCCAGTTTGTAATACTGAGGTATAGAACATATAAGTGATTTATTGATTTTCAGGGGGATATATAAGAAGAACTAGAAGAGTTTACAATGGCAGTAGTATTGATATCCATGCTAGTAACAAGCAGTTGTATTATTAGTAGAAATAGTATTAGTAGAAATACTGTACAGCTTTCATTCATTTCCATTTCTATCCATATTAGGGTCCACTACTGTACCCCCTCTGGCAACAATAAACCAGAGAGGACTCTGGGTAACATATAACACAGAAGGTATACAAACATAGCACACACCAGTTATGACTCCTTTGTATTAACATGTCCAATTGGGGTTGCTGGATTCTTTCCACAGTAAAAATAAGATGTGCACTTTTGCCAAATAATCAACAGGGGGAGCCATTTCTCCCCCTTGTCTTTAAATGAGTTGCACCACAGCACAACAAAACATGCAACATACCAAGCTCATTATACTGTAAAAAAACAGGTAGACTTGTGTATTAAGCCATCAAGTAATTTTGGAATGTTTTTTATCTTTCCTCCAGCAACAAATAAAGTCCCAGTCACCAAGGCACCAAGTACAACAACTGTTACAACAACAACAACAACAACAACAACTGCCCAGACAAAAAGTAACACTATTATACTGCTTCCTGCTTTGTAAACACAAACTCAGTATGTTTTAATATTGGACTGACCAGGGAATATCATTGCCTTCTATGATATTAATATCCATATATAAAGATTTTGTAGAAAAGACACTTCTACTAAAATTGCAATGCTGTACATGTTTATTTATTCTTGTGCAGGCACATCAGGCATTCGTGTGATGAATGGTAACAGTAGCTGCCAGGGTCGTGTAGAGGTCCTCTACAGAAATGTTTGGGGGACGGTGTGTGATGATGACTGGGACATGACTAACGCCAACGTGGTGTGTAGGCAGCTTGGATGTGGCCCAGCTATTGCAGCCAAGGCCCAGGCCTACTTCGGCTACGGTGTGGGTCCGATCCTGCTAGACAATGTGGAATGTAGCGGCTTTGAAACAGAGCTGTCTCAGTGCTTCCACCTGGGCTGGGGTCAGCACAACTGTGGCCATCACGAAGATGCTGGAGTTATCTGTGCACGTAAGACCTGACCAGATTTCGCTAACATCATTTGGAGCTTAAGCAGGCTCCATTAGTCATACACGCACATATACAATATGTATAAATACGGACTGTCTGTATCACAAACATCTATCTAAAGTCATCAATTACACTAAAAGCTCATACTTCCTTTTCATCCAGTCATCTGTGCTTGTCCTGCTGAGCTGTCCTGTTGCAATGCACAACTGTAGTACTCTGAGGAGGAGACAGCACACAGAACATAAAAAATACAGTGGATGAGTCAAGGCACATCAGCGTCACTGCATGCCTACAGGCCAACTTTCCCTTCTTTGAGGCTAAATTAAAAGCACATACAGACTCCCCTTTACTTAGATACCACATCATTAATTTCTGGTTATTTGGAAACTACCATTATACATTTGTTGCATCCATTTTTAATCAGTTGTCTCCAGTAATTCTTCCTTCAGCAAGTAGTTAGAATTGGCAAAGGAGACATAATCTATATCACAGTTTTGGGGTTTTGTTGTGTATTTCCTGTTTTATTCTACTTGAATCCTTCCTCATGTGTCTTTGTTAACTTCACTTCCTGCCTGTATCAAGGGGGTAAGCCAGAGATCGGACAGTGAAGCCGACCAAAACCTGCATGGAGGGATCCATGTATGCCCAAAAATGACGTCAAAACCCCGTGACACCCCCGTCGCATGTGAGAGATGTAACCGTATTGCTTAGATTATAAACTCTCGGCAATCTAAATAAATATATTTGTTGATCAGTGACGCTGCGTTGGTATTTGACAGGTGAGCCTTGTAGGTGGGCTGATTAATCAGTGACGATCCGAGTCAGACAAATCAGCGGGTGGGCGACCACTGGCCTGCTAGAGACCAGCCTGTACACTGGCCTGCTAGCAGATCGAGTCAATTTCCTACCTGATCCTGCCCTGGAGTTACCTTCTGGCAGGCCCATTAGTGTGACTTTCACCGTTGCTGTGCCTCTCCACTGCCCAGCTGTTCATCCTTGCTGCTGCCCAGTGTTCCAGAGACTTTGTTGTGCAGCGCTTCAAAGACTCAGTTGCTTAGTACCATTGAAGTAACACCAGTCCTGCCCGGCTCAGCCAACACCTGCTCCAGGTTCCCCTACAGCAACTTGGCTGACACCTGCTCCTTGTTCCTCATTAGCGGCTTGACCGAGATCAGCTCCTGGTCCCCTGTTGGTGGCCCATCTGACATCACCTCCTGGTCTTCAGTTTGCTGCCCAGCTGACTCCTGCCCCTGTCCCTGCTGAGCTGCAGCAACTCCCCGCTCCTGCTGAGCTGCAGCAGTCACCAGCACCACAACCTCTGGTTTCCCCTGAATTGTGGCAACTCCCCGCTCCTGCTGAGCTGCAGCAGTCACCAGCACCACAACCTCTGGTTTTTCCTGAATTGTGGAAACTCCCCGCTCCTGCTGAGCTGCAGTAGCAACCTCCGGTTCCTTCTGAGTTGCAGCAACTGTCTCTTGCTCACAGTGTTGCTGTGTCGCTGGACCACATTCCTGCTTCTCTGTTGCTGGTCCCCAGCTCAGATCTCCAGCCACAGGTCTCTGGCTCTGCACTTCTCCGCCGGTCCTCCGGAGGGTTGCCGCCTTCACTGCTGTCCTCCTGGGTGTCCTCCAGAGCTGCTGGGCCCTTCGGTCCTGCCTCCTGGTCGTCCTCCAGACCTGCTCCGCCGATCTGTTCTGCCCCCAGGCCATCCACTTGTGGTCTCCTGATCTGCTTCAGTCCTGCCTCTTGGACCGCTCACCTGGGGTCTCCAGCTCCACATTCATCCTGTCCCCGTGCCATACACCTGAGGTCTCCTGACCCGCAACCCATCCAGCCCTCTGGCCATCAGTCTGAGAGCACCAGCTCTAATCCTCAGATCCTGAGACATTTGCCCCTTAAGCACTAGCCATCTCTCTGGTATTTGTTTCCCAATGTTTTTGGGATAATGTGTGTTTCTCCTGGTCCTTGCCTGTTTACTGGACTTTGGATTTGTTTGCCTGTCTTGGACTGCTTACCTAGTATAATATTTGCCTACCTCACCACTCTGTAAGCTTTTGCCCCTGTTGTGTCTTTAATTAAAATCTTTGAACTGTACCTGCTCTATGTGCTATTGGGTCCTATTCACTGTTATCCGGCTACCCTGCTAGCAGCTTATTGTGATAATCTGTCCATGACAGTGAGGGTTGTAAGCATCAAAATCAGTACCAAATCATATTTTGCAAACATTATTGTTGAAATTTCAAAACAATGTTCCCACAAAGCGTCTCTGTATTGTGACCTTAAAGGAGCCAGGCAAGAGGCCTACTGTATTGATAACTAGAGTGATTACAAGAGAGCCTTACTGTTGCTTATTATATTATATTTTCAGTTATGCCTAGGATCCAGAAACATCAATCTGTTTTTTCTGCTTTCCTCTGCTTCCCTTAGCTTTTGAATTCTACATTGCAAATGGACGTGACTTTAGAGTACCAGAAAGCACACTTACCACTACCACACAACCCTCTGAAGGTAGGTTAAATATATCTTCAGCCAGCAAAAAATCAACCTATTTCCCCGAGACTGAGTCTCAAAAACAAGTGAGACACTGAATTTATGACTCTTTGTTTTTGTAGGAATGGTGAGGCTGGTGGGTGGCCAGCACCGATGTGAGGGTCGAGTAGAGATGTACTTAAATTCTGGATGGGGAACAGTGTGCGATGATGCTTGGGATCTCCCTGACGCTCAGGTTGTGTGTCGCCAAATGAGTTGTGGACAGGCCACGGCGGCTTGGGGACAAGCTTTCTTCGGGCCTGGCACAGGAACAATCCTGCTGGACAATCTTAAGTGCAGTGGTGCAGAGGTCTCCCTGCAGGGGTGCTCCCATATAGCCTGGAATGTGCACAATTGTGACCACTCTGAAGATGCTGGTGTCACCTGCTCACTGTCGTGATTTCAGCAGAACCACACTCCCAACTCCACCATGGGTAGGAAGTGGGTGTACCAACCTGGGACTTGTATACATTATGTATATAACAGCTTTCACATTGCTGAAGGAATACTCCTCCACCAACAACATACAAAATAACTAATATGACAGTATACGATTACATACTATAAACTATCTATGCCTATTAAGCACTTTATAAATAAATATATGATATAAAATACAGTGTAGACAGTTTTTTTTATTTGAGAAACAAGAAAAAACAAAGCTTTTAACTGTCAATGACTTTTTTTCTGCCCCCAAAATGTTAAAATATTTACTGTACATGTGATTCTTTGACGAGTAAGTAAGGTATATTGGAGGAAGTCCATCAATTATTGTGTGGATAAAATGAGAAGTTTTTGTAGACTTCAGCTCCAAAATTCGCAAATATGTATGATATAACAAACAAATTTCATATATTACAAACCACAAGAATGCAAGAAAACAGAAACTTCCATAGATAATTGTGTTATATGTTGTGAATATACAGTAGCCTATCTCTCCATCTACAGATAAATAATGGGTTACTTGTGTTCTGTAAACTACCATATAAATAAATGTAACTAATGATCATTTACATGTGACAAAATAAATGTTCTTATTTTTCGATATATATTATATATTTTTGGTGTCAAAAGAAAAAGTTTAAATCAGTATCTGCATTGTCATTGTCCTAAACATGTGCATAATGTTAACTGAGACCATTTTCCTCCTTTAGTCATTTATCCTTTGTTGCTGAGGCATCAAGCTAATTGTTAAGTTGATGCATGATGTTAGATAAGTCAGTTCGTGTAATGAACAAAAAGAACAGTATTGCTAACAACATTTATTTGATATGCAATTCTCAAATTACATAAGCCAATTGCTTGTAATAAAATTAAGCTAACTGACTGCACCCAAATTTGACAATGGCATACTGATACTATGTAGCTAACTGTGGCCATAGGTGCAAATTAGAGGATAATAGTAAACGCTAAAATTTTGTGTAATACAGTAGTTGCAAAAATAAATAATAAGCCAGCATACTGACTCAGGAATGCCAGTTGCACAGCAGTATTGATCGAATGTTTTCTAATATTAGCTAAAATTAGCCCCGATAAGCTAGCGGTTACCTGACCAAGTACAGCTTTAGCAGCAAAACTCCTAATTGTGTTGAAATGAGCAATGGTGTGTGTTGTTGGTAATTAATTCAAATGTTCTTTCATAGGAGGCAAAATCTATTTCTTCTTCTTATGAAAGTTTCATCTTAGTTTAAACTGTAAATGCTCTATATAATTAGTGCATTATATAACAATGTCTGAAAGAATATGGGAGAATTGCAAAAGCAGTGAGAAGACATTGCTGTAATACATTAAGAATTTTCTAATTTCATTCCTCTATCCACTCAGGCAAAAGTGGAAGAAACATTTTGAAGAATAGGAATCAGCCAAATATCAATTTTTTGACAGCTCCCAGGGAATGCTGAGATTTAGCAATTTTGTTTGAATCTCAGACTGGGTGATCTTGGAGTATTTTAGATCCAAACTAGTAAAAAAACAAAACAAAACAAAAACATTTTTCAAATACCCATTACTTCTGTGTAGTAAAATTACTTGATTCTTTTTTTTGACAAGTTACAACTTCAGTTTAAGACATTATAATGAATATAGAGAAACAGTATCTTGAATTTGAGCTATGTCAAGTTATGACTTTGACATTGAGATGAAAAACAGATTTACTGTATGTATGAAACAGAAATAGTCTGGGAGGCTCAAGAGCAAAGCTGGAGCTGATTTATCAGTTTTAGAAACATCCAGTGTCTACACTGACTGGGAAATAAAAAGGCCTGTATAAGAGGGCGTGTTTGATGACTCATGATAAAAATGACTCAGCATATCAGTGTTATGAACCTACAATCACTACAATCACCAGGAATGTTAACAAATGGCATATCCATGGTTACAAAAGGGGTTTCACATACAATTTATATTACATGAGAAGAAAACCTTTCTCTTTTTATACATTCTGATAATATTAAAAACTGACACTCCATCATTCAAAACTAATGAGTGCAACTGTTGATATAAAATCTTAAATTATAACAGACTTCTTGTTATGCTTCTCCTCTGCTGAGCCACAATGTTGCAGTCAAACGATGAACTGCTCTGTGGTCACAGGGGTGTCTTTTCCTTATCAGCTACACAGGCTATGAAGATGACTCAGCCAATCAGACATGAGGACTGGAAACCTGTTTCATTGACTATAAACATCATCATAAAAATAATATGTAAAACATACATTCTTATTTTAATATGACCTGTTACAGATGATTGGACTTTGAACATTTACTGTTTTCAAACAAAAAACTCCTAAAGGCCTCTCCTGATTCACTGATTTAAAGATGTTTCACATTCTTTAAAGCCACACAAAAAAAGCATTTGTGTATCTCCAGTGAGCAAGATTTTATAACATAACTTATTTCAGCATTTTCTACGGGCAAGATATATTTTGAAAACATTATCTTGTGCCATATTGTAAATTCTTATGTCAGTACAGGTTGGGCTACGTGGAAATAGCGTTTCTTCTTGGCCCCAGGGTAGAGTTGAGCTGCTGGGCTCCTATTAATACCCTGTTCTTCCATCTCTCTTATCATTGCGTCCAGTATTCCAATGCTTTAATATTACATTGCAAGGTTTGTGGTCATCTGAGAATACGCAAAGTAAGGATTATCAACATTATATCATCTGAGATAATGAAGGTTTTGACACAGGACACAGGGCCACAAAATCAGGGAGACCCTTATCACATCAGTTGGTATCATGCTTCGGTGGTATTGGTGCATATTCCAGGTTCCAGTCAGGTCTTTGGGGTGGCCCATGGGGATCTGAGGCCCAGGGCAGTTTGCATTTGCCCGGTTGGTATGCAAGCTTTGCATTTGGCATGTGAGCACTGTTCTTTCTCCATAACCCAATACCACTACAGTATATGTCACCACTATATAAAAGCACCATCTTTTCCATGGACATGTGGAGTCTAAACCCTACATTGCCTGTCTGTAGGGCAATATAGGCTGTGCTGTCATTTTCTCTGGCCTGCCTGCCAGGGTCGTTACATCACTCTGTGAAGACACGCCTTTTTGGGTGGTGACACAATCGAGGGAAAGGGCTCGGAGGGGGAGGGGTGTCCCGTCGGCAGGCACACAGACAGCAGGCAGCAGCTGCAGCGAGAGGAGCCGGGTGCCGTTACTCTGCATTAAAACATTCATATTACGATTTTTAGCTCCGAAACACACAGGCCGGCAACACACACAGCTAAAATGGTAGACCGCGAGCAACTGGTGCAGAAAGCCAGGCTGGCCGAGCAGGCAGAGAGGTATGATGATATGGCAGCTGCCATGAAATCGGTAAGTAGACTTCATCTGTTCTGACCTTTCTCTTTTCACTCGTTTCTATTAGAAACAGTCTCATCGGCCTGTGTGTGTGTGTGTGAGAGAGAGAGGAATGTTTGTGTGCTAGCTAACCTAGCATTAGGGGCAGTAATACGCAGACTGTGCCCCTGTGTTAGAGCTTAATTTGGCTTAAACGGATAAACCACACAAAACTGGTGTATGAAACTTATGATTAAAGACTACATTAATGCGAAAGACATATGTGTGATCATGATAAATGGCTGTTATAATAAGATTTGGGCAACATCATTTTGAACAAGACTGCAAGGCCCGCAAGGCACACTCCACCCGTGGCCATACATTTCAGAAGTAGCCTATAAGTGGCATCGTTTCAATATAATGAGGTTCAGTCGAAATGATTAATGCAGAGAGATTGAAATGATTTTATTGGCGGTGTGCTGCGGTGGATTGTTGCTGTCTGGAATGCGGTCTGTTTGATCTTGGGGCGGTGCCTTTCGCCAGGCTCCTTTAAAATCGGCCAGGCTGCTTGGTTGTAAAAGAACTGGGGTGGGCAATAAAGCAAAGAACAACACAATGACAAGTTTAATTGTCTGTGTGGATCAAACGTGGGCTTAATAATGAAGGCGGATAAAAATGATCACGTCGAAAGATGCGCATAGTGGCGGAGCGGAGGACGAGCTAGGTGGTACCATGATGGTGAGAGTGACCTCGTAGGCTGGAGCTGATGCTCGTGTTCCGGTTTACATGATGCTGAGCACGAAATAATGAGCCATCGATTTAGTGTGTGCACGGCACTTTTCTTTTTGACGTGGAGAAACAACCAGCCCGTGTCTTGTTGTCGCTGCACATTTGGCGCAATGTTGGCTGAAGGTTGATCGCAATCGATTTTGCGCAGAAGGAGCGCGCAAAATCCCGAGCGTTCGCCTTTCAGACGTGGGTGTTGGTGGACGGACAGCTTTCCATAAAGCTCCCGTAGATTCCATATTGCAGCAAATGGTCGTTTGCCTGTCTGCAAAGCTGTAGCATGACGGACCTCCGGTCTTAGTCGATAATGTGTAGCAACCGCATCCCTGCGTCCTCGACCTCTTCCAGCAGGTTCCCACACAGAGAGGCGTGCCGCAGCATCTGCCAAGATGCAGCACAGGCCCACCCGTAGTGCACCATTTCATAGGCAGCGTTTTATCAGAGCTTCACAAAGGCTGCATCTTTTTATATCAGTACCGCCTGGACAATAAGACCATAGAGGAACGGACAAGTCAAGGCCTGTTGTGCTGTATGAGAAGGCCCATTCTCCTTTATTTAAAAGAATGGCCATAATATTTGTGCATATTGTGTCTGTGGTTACTAATAGTGACTTCTTAGAGATAATATAGGACTTTCTAGTGGTCTTTATTATCTATCTATACTTGTTTTATTCAATGGCAAGTAGTTTTGGTGTCATTTGTCTATAAAGTAAAAAAAAATGGTCATAGAATCACTTACTTACAAGAGTTGTATCTATTTTCTTTCATTAACCAGCAGCCTCATGTGAGCCCAGGTTGTGTAGGGCAGTGGTTGTGTTTAATAGAGAAAGCAAGATTAGTAGAGGCTACTTTTTCTACATCAGCTTCAACTCCCATGAGTCAACAAGTAAGCTGTCAGCCCTGTTTAAAGGCCACGCTCTGTGCTTCTCTCTAGGACCAGGCTGTGGTGTGTTAATGCCAAAGGGGGGCCCGGCTCCACCCCTTCCGATTTATGCCGAGTCAGAGAGAGAGCTGCCCCTCACCCAGCCACTCTCTCTGCAGCACTGGGCAGCGGGGTGTGTCTGCTGCCTCGCCCATCATTTGAGGGGAATCCCTTGCCACTGCAGACATGGTAACCGCCCCGGTGGCAACGGAACCAAATAACCAGGATCACACAGGACACGACACTGCGCCCATAGCTAATGCTGATCGACTGCTGTTAGTACTGTATGTTCACCACGCCTTTATAAGATAATGATAATGTAGATATCAGGACAGCATGTCTCACCATCAAGTATATTTTTTTACAACATCAATCATTTAGTACCTCATGTCTCTTAAGAAGAAATCAGGGACAAAAGGAATCCATCTTTATTCAGAAGAGCATAGAAGTTATTCTCATTAGCTGGGATGGGCAATCGTTATTTGTGAGCAAGAAAAGAACTGTTTCAAACAAACAGTAAATGAGAGACTGGTTTTGTTCTTTAATAATATTTATACATCCAACAGAAGTGTCCCAGCAGAGAGTCATTAACAGGTCTCTCATGTTTTTCCAAATTCATTTATAGGAGCCGAGTGTGACATCACAGGTTTGAAAGCAGCCTCATATTCTGCTTGCCCTCTTTCTGTCTGTCGGGGACAGCTATGAGTGATCAGTAACTGATCAGAGATGCAGACCCGGTTGCCTGCAAAATATTTGTGTTTCTGTGCATTCTCCTTTAATTTATAGTGCACAACTCTAGCTATGTGTGGGTCTCTAGTGATTCTATTAGCTGTGGACCAAGAGCCCGAAAATTAAATTAGGGTCCTGGACCTCTAGATGAAAAAGCCACATGAACTGAAATTTAGGTTTTTAGTTGTTCAGTACATGCTTCTGACGATAAATGATTCAAAGGGTTAAATGTTAAAAGTTGTGCCCCAATAATTTGGTACCTCTTAGCAGCGTAACACGTCGGACTCTCATTTACTCTTTATAAAGGTGATGCCATTGCAAAAACAGTCAAAATCCTTGCTACCGTGCAGGGTTTACCCGGAGAGCATTACATTAGCACACATACATACTCCCCACTGAACTCACATAACTAACCTAAAGCTATACGTGTTTAAAAAACAATAATGATAATTATTGCAACATGATTTTTCTCAATAACAATATAACAAATGTTTAATAAATGTTTGATTTAATTCATTTGAATCATGAACCAATTAGCACTTAATTTTTTATTAAGATATTCATTTTGTTTTTTTTGTAAAGATTTTACTTTATTTTACTCATGCATATTTGTTGAAAAAAGATTTTATCATAATTGTTTTCAATGTTCTACCTCAGATTTGTTAAGCGATCCACTATTAGGCAAGTGTTCTGACCACAGAGAATAGTTTAACATCACAATTAAGTGTCTTTCTTTCATTCAGGAGCAAAAATCAGCAGCCTATAAACTATATATAAATAATGATTTTGAATGATATGAAATTTTCTATCGTGAGAACATTTTTGGCCATATCGCCCAGCCCTAACGTGTTATCAGCACCACACGTCAAACATCATGTCTTGGGATGTAGTATTTCTTGGCTAGTGAGTCGGTGCTCGTACTGTACAGAAAACAGAATTTATGCATTCATTTGTTGCAAAAACAGCAGTACTGTGCTACTACCTTGTATGCTAATACTGTAAATATTACAAAATTCCTGTGCTATAAAAAGCACAGTCGACCATTGATGAGGAATCTGTTTTTAGGAGTCGTTTTCAAGAGTGACTGTGAATATATTATATTATATAATATTCATTCAAAAGACCTCACTACTACATATGCATATCTAATGAAGCTATTACATCATAGTATCCACATGAGCCCAGTGCCTCAGCCCTTTGATATAGTACTAATTGATTCTCAAAGGCTGACCTAATAAACAAGTCAATACACCAGTTTGAGTGCAAGAAAAACATTGTTATGGGTTCTTCACCAGTATCTCTTAAAACACCACACCGGTGTTTTTGCTTCAAACCATGTGCATTTTATTTCATAACATTTATTTATTTATTAAGACTTTTGAATTCGCCTTTTTTGTGCAGCCGTTGCTTTCCTTTCATTTTCATTCACCATAAAAAAAATAAACTTGTAATGAAAGAACAGAAACATAGAGTTTTAATAATACTGACAAAAGAACTGTATTGTAATGTATTGAAATGTATTTTTTCAGACCATGTATTCAGTTTTTTCAAGTAACGTTGTCATCCTGCTAAATATATGTTTTAACGATAATAGTCATTTACCAACATGCTGTTTTAGGTGAAACCTTGGACCTTAATTCCTACAAAAAAACCCCAAACAAATCTCTAAATGTCAAGTTATAAGTGCAGCAAAATCAAACGCTGGGCTTACACAGGGCTTATGCTTCTTTCACACAAACCCGGCTATGAAGTGCTTTATTGAACGCGTGTTTAACCCGGGTTTGACCTGATTCAATTGAGAGTGCTTTCACAAGTTAATCTCTGAGAGACTTCAGTCTGAAACTGTAGTCAGTTACGAACGACTGCTAAACCACAGAGTTACAAAGTGCCGCTGAATTAGATTCCGTAAAGTAACTACACAACGAGGGCTGAGTTTCAGTTTCAATTCATTTTCTCTTAGTCACTCTCTCCTTTGCTTTTTTTTTTTACACTAGCCAAGTCATACATAAATGCTCAAAGTCACGTTAGCTGAAGCCCCTATCCGGTTCACCAAAAGTGAGCTATTTTGCTGTGTTAGTCTCAAAGGGGTATTACAGATCCCTACAGATCTGTCATCTAGGGTCCTGTAACAATGGCAGCCAAGGGGTTGGCTGGTAAGTATACTATGTCCCACCATTTTCCAGTCGATCTACATTTCAACCCTCCCTTATGGGCGTGAGCTTTGGGTAGTGACCAACAGAATGATACTGTGGAGTCTAGTGGCCAAAATGAGTTTCCTCCACAAGGGGGCTGGGCTCAGCCTTAGAGAAAGGCTACGGAGGGAGCTCAGAGTAGAGACGCTGCTCCTTCACGTTTAAAAGGAGCTCGTTGAGGTGGTTCTGGTATATTATCAGGATGTATCCTGGGCGCCATCCTTTGGAGGTTATCCAGGCACGTCCAACTGGCAGGAGCCCCCGGGGTACACCCAGAACACGCTGAAGAGATTATATATCTCATATGGCCTGGGAACGCCTTGTGATCCCCCGGGGGGGCTAGAAAACGTTGCTGGGGAAAGAGGGACGTCTGGACCACCTTGTTTAGCCTGCTGTCACCACGGCACC